TTCTCATTTCGTGCCTTTTTTTTTTTTTTTTTTTTTTTAGACAATTCTTAGTGTCATGATCCCATGATCCTCCTGCTTTATTCTCCCTGCTGGGACTGTAGTAGGCACATGCCACCACACCTGGCTCTTTGTCAGACAGGGTCTTGCCTTGATTTTCTGATACTTCTGCCTCAGCCTCCCTGAGTCACTGGTATTACGGGTGCATGCCCCCATGACTAGCCTTTAGGTTGGATTAGGGATCAAATCTAATTCCTAATTGTTGGTTAAAAAAAACAGAGAAATGAATTACTCTTCACTTTATGGGGATATAAAATGGTACCACATTTTCAGAGTACGGTTGGGTAGTATGTAGCAAAAATCTTGGGTTATACTTTTTGATTCAGTAATTCAGTTTTTAGCATTTTAGCTTGGAAAAATAAAAGGACAAGTACATAGAAATATGTATACTAAGTGTTCAAACCAATCTTGTTTGTACTAGGGGAAAACTTGAGACAACTAATCCTCAGATGAGAATAGGTTAAGTAAATTATGAAACATCTGTAGGAGGGAATGATACCATTGAAATTAGATTTATGTGTATTGGTTGCTGTCAAATTTTGTCTGGGACATACTAGTTTTCTAGTTTACCTACAATAAATTAATTCTGTGTAAGTTTAAAAGTTAATAAATGTGATTAGTAATGTGGAAAATTATAATCTTACAAAAGACATGATGAATCAAGGTACTTCTTTGTGTTTTTGAAACCCAAAAGAAGAGAAAAAATGAGAGATTCTAAAGGAAAACATTTATCAAAATTTAAAACCATTTTTGTAAAAGCTCCTACTTTTCACTTTTTCAGTTGATTTGTATTCTTTTATTATGAGCATATAATATGTCTTCTGTAGCATGTTGATGTGCTGGCTTATATGATTTTTTTTTTTTTTGAGAGATTTTCACTGTAGGGCGCGTGTGCTCGCCAGACAGACAGAGAGAGACATAGAGACAGAAAGCGAGAAATCACCCCCCAGGGGGGATGGTCACGCCGCAATCCCTTCTCCTCCATTCTCCTCTCGGGATCTTGGGCACGCACGCACACACGCCCGGTATATGAAGTGACTTTTGTGGTACATAATTCTTTCTTTACATTGTTAGTTTTGATTAGCTAATATCTTGTTGAGGATTTTTGCATCTAGATGCATGAGAGCTGTTTATGTATAATTTTCTCTTCTTGCAGTGTTGTCTTTGACTCATGTTTTAGTTAGAAGTGTGTTGTTAATCTCCTGTGATTTGGGGATTTTGATACTGTCTTTTTATTTTTTTTTTAAGAATTATTTAACTTTATGTAATTTATTTATTTTTAATTTGACCAGAGAGGGACAGAGTGAGAGGGTGGGAGGAGGAGTGAGAAAGCAAACTGCCAGGTCCAGGACTCAAACTGTGCCAGGAGTCCAGCGCCTTCAACCACCACACCACCTGCCAGCCTTGATGCTGCCTTTTTTCTAGGCTATTCCAGTTGTGATCTAAGAACATACCTTCTATGATGTCTTTTTTTTTTCAAGAGGTTTTTGCTATAGGGCGTGTGTGCTCGCCAGAAAGACAGAGAGACAGAAAGCAAGAAATCACCCTCTGGGGGGATGGCCATGCCACAATCCCTTCTTCTTCATTCTCCTCTTGGGATCTTGGGCACACATGCACACACACCCGGTGTGAGTTTAAGCCACCGGGTCTGTGACTTGAAGTGTGGTCGACTGTATGGGACTTCAGCGACATAGCCATTACACTAACTGCTGGTCCCCCTTCTATGATTTCTATTCTTTTAAATTTGATGATATTTTTAATGTTCCAAATGTGGCCTCTTGGTTCGATGTGAGTTTGAGTAGATTGTGTATTTTTCGATTGTGGAATTGGGATGAAGTAGTCTATAAATGTCAATTAGTCATGCTGATGCTTTCTCTCTCTCTCTCTTTTTTTTTTTTTTTTAAGGTTTTTGTCGTAGGCGCTGTCCAGAGAGACAAAGAAACAGAAAGATGGAAAGTGAGAAAGCACTCCCCAGGGGGGATGGTCATGCCTCAATTCTTCCTCCTCCATTCTACTGGGATTTTGAGCAGGCAAGCCCAGGCATCTGGTGCCCGGCATGATTTTCAAGCCTCCAGGTCCAGGACTCTAACCACGACCGACCACGTGGGATGGGAGTCCAGTGCCTTAACCACCATCCCACCTGCTGGCCCTGATACTTTCTCTTTTAAAGATATCCTCTGTTTTCTGTGGTTAGGGAAAAATGTAAATGTCTTTTTTTAAGAGATTTTTTTTTTTTTTAAGAATTATTTTAATTTTTCTTTTTTGAGAGTTTTTTGCTATAGGGCGCGTGCGCACACCAGGAAGACAGAGAAAGACAGAGAGATAGTAAGCGAGAAATCACCTCCCAGGAGGATGGCCACGCCACAATCCCTTCTCCTCCATTCTCCTCATGGGATCTTGGGCATGCATGTACACGTGCCTGGCTTGAGTTTAAGCCACCAGGTCCAGGACTCGAACCGTAGTCGATTACATGGGAGTTCAGTGACATAGCCATTACACTAACTGCTAGTCCTGTAGATTCTTTATTTTTGATAAAATGTTTTAAAAACTTAATATATGTAAGTCTTTCAAGTCTGTGCTACTTAACTTAAGAATTGGAACTAAGTTTATTGTCCAAGTTTTGTTGTAGTCTCTTTTTAAGAACAATAGTAATAGCTAAAGCTTGTTATCACCACCGTGTGTTTCTCGGGGTAATTGTGTCCATTTCCTTTTAGGCAGGAAGTTACGTTCGAGATGATGCTGTCCCCAATTTGATCCAGTTAATAACCAATAGCGTGGAGATGCATGCCTATACTGTCCAGCGCTTGTACAAAGCAATTCTTGGTGATTATTCTCAAGTAAGTACTTTATTTACCTTTCTTTTAGGAAAGTTACCCCTCATTCTCCTGATAAGTTTTTTCCTACTACTTTAGATGTATTCTGTTTTGACCCTTATGATTAGTATGATTTATTCAAGCATCTTTGGAATGCATGATTAAAGTCCTTGATAAATGGCAATTTTCTTTTGACAGCAACCTTTGGTACAAGTAGCTGCATGGTGTATAGGTGAATATGGTGATCTTCTTGTATCTGGCCAGTGTGAGGAGGAAGAGCCTATTCAGGTATTCTTTGTCCTTCTTGGTTAAGGAGTAGAAAAAATAGTGCTTTTGCTTATAGGATGGTAGGAGAGTTCAGGTTGACTCCTTAAAACTTTTAAAAGAAGTTTAAAATTGGTTTAGGAAACCTTACATTTTTTACCTGTAACTTTTTGGGCCATTGTATGATTTTTAGGCTACTTTAGTCCCTACTCCTTGCCCTAGCAGACTGAATTGTTTCTCTTACCCCCTGACTAATAAATAAGAAATAAGAGATGGGGCCAGTAGATGGCATAGTGGTTACATTGCTGGACTCCCACATGGCCCATCATAGTTCGAGTTCCAGAACCAGTGGCTTGAAAATCACGCAGGGTGCATGTGTGTGTATGCCCAAGATCCCGGGAGGAGATTGGAGGAGAAGAGATTATGGTGTGACCGTCTCCCCTGGTGGGTGATTTCTCACTTTCCCTCTCAGTGTCTCTGACTCTGGTGAATGCACATGCCCTAAGGCATGTCCTTTAAAAAAGGAAAAAGAAATGCAGGGCTGGCAGGTGATGTGGAGGTTAAAGGCGCTTTACTCCCACATGGCTGACCGTAGTCCAAGTCCCAGACTTGGTGGCTTTCTTTCTCACTTTCCCTCTCTCACACTTTGTCCCTCTCTGGTCAAATGAAAATAAATAAATAAATAAATAAAGTTAGATAAACTAATTCTTTAAAAAGAGAAATGAGACATGTGTCCATGTTCCCCTTGTTTATTAAGACTGGATTTAGGGAAAGTTGTTGAGCCAGCACTTGAACTTCTGTATCTTGTTCCTTTCTTTCTGTCCTGCCACCTCTTAAAACTCTTATATGCCTCTCGGTCCTGGCCCCCCGTGGCCGTTTTCCACTCTTTTTACCTTTTACCTATTTACTTTTGGTTGAACTGGCTTAGACATTTACCTTTTCAGAGCACAGGTTATGTTAGAGGATTTCATAATTGTAGAATTACCTTTCTGGTGGTAGCCTATGACTTGATATTTGAGTTAGAGGTGCACTGTTACCATTTGTTTTATGTGGTCTTTTTTTCCCCCTCAGGTAACAGAGGATGAAGTGTTGGATATTTTAGAAAGTGTCCTAATCTCTAATATGAGCACCTCTGTGACACGAGGTTATGCTCTCACTGCCATTATGAAGCTTTCTACTCGATTCACGTGTACTGTAAAGTGAGTATTTAGAAAAAATAATGTAAATAGGTTGTTCTGTAATTTTAAATAACTTTTTATCATGGAAAATTTCAAATACAGACAAAAATAGAGTGAATAAAAAGGAATTGGCATTTACTTTGTTCTCACAATCACAATGATCTAGCCGAGGTTAATCCGTAGTTCATCTGTGCTTTGTTCCCTCTTATTGCCCCACTCCACCATAGACTTTTTGAAGCTAAAAAGTTAATGTTTTTGTAATCAAATTTCTGGGGCCAGCTTTGTGATGTAGTAGTCATGTGCTGCTTAAGAGAAGCTGGATTCCACATGGCAATTGTTCAAATCCTTGGCCTGGTCAGCCATGAAAACACATTGGGCATACATGCAAGTGTCAAAGACCTGACAGGCTGAAGTACTGGAGAAAGGGGATCCAGAATGACATGACCCTGCAGAGAGGTCTCTCTCTTTCATGAGGGCATTCTATCATAAATAAAGAAAAAATTAAATACTTCTGTGCATTTTTAAAACATTGGATTTCAGGGGGCCAGCAGTTGGCATGGTGGTTAAGGTACTAGATTTATGTGTGGCTGACCACAATTTGAGTCCAGGACCTGTGGCTTTCCTTTTCCCTCTCTCTCTGTCTCTCCTTTGTCAAATTAAAATAAATCAATAAATAATAATAACAAATAGCATTAAATAATTCTTTTTTTAAAAAATTGGATTTTGGGGACCAGCAGATGGCCTAATGGTTACATTGCTGGACTCCCATGTAGTCAACTGTGGTTTGAGTCCTAGACCCGGCAGCTTAAAACTTAATGCTGGGCACATGCCCAAGATCCTGAGAGGAGAATGGAAGAGAAGGGATTGTGATGTGACCATCCCCCTGGGGAGTGACCTCTCACTTTCTGTCTCTGTGTGAGAGAGACAATGCATAGTGCACGCGTGCATGTGCAAGCGCCTGCGCCCTATAGCAAAAATCTCTCTCAAAAAAAAAAAAAAAAAAAGGATTTGGGGGCCAGCAGGTTGGTGTGGTGGTTAAATGCGCTGGATTAACACATGGCTGACCGCAGTTTGAGTCCTGGACCTACTGACTTTCTTGCTTTCCTTTTCTCTGTCTCTGTCTGGTCAAATTGAAAAATCATAACAATAACAAATGTAATTAAATAAATAAATCTTTTAAAAAATAGATTTTGGGGAACCAGCAGGTGGTATAATGGTTACATTGCTGGACTCCCACATAGTTGACCTCAGTTCAAGCCCTAAACCTAGTGGCTTAAAATTCACGCTGGGTGCGTGTACGTGTGCATGAGCGTGTATGCCCAAAATCCTGAAAGGAGATGAGGACAAGGGATTGCGGCGTGGCTATCCCTCCTGGGGGGTGGTTTCTTGCTTTCTTTCTGTCTCTTTAGTAAACACGGGCACCCTATAGCAAAAATCTTTCTTTGAAAAAAAAAAATTGGATTTTTATGCTTTTTTTTTTAACTAGAGAAGTTGTTTTGGTTTATTATAATATTTTGAGGTGTCTGAATGAGAATAAAATCATAAGTATTTTGGTGATTCAATCTTTAAATTCTACTCTTTGCTATTTTTTTTAACTTTTAAAATGTATGTAATTTAATTATTTTTTAAATTTTGCTATATGGCATGTGTGCTTACCAGAGAGAGACAGAGAAAGAGAAAAAGAGAAAGAGAAAGCAAGCCGCCAGGTCTGGCGCTCAAACCTTGGTCAGCCATATGGGAGTCCAGCACCTTCACCATGCCACCTGCTGTCCCCTCTTTGTTATTTTGAATAAAAGTCTATTTTTAGGTCAGTTTTTTAGCTCAGCATATATATTTATTGATTTTAAGAATTATCTTTAACTTCATTTATCATTATTATTATTATTATTACTTTTGTGTAATTTGACCAGAGAGACAGTGGGAAAATGAGAAAACAAGCTGCCAGGTCCAGGACTTAAACCGTGATCAGCCATATGGGAGTTTAGTGTCCCCAACCACCATGCCACCTGCTGGCCCCCAGCTCAGTATATTTAAGGCAATCTTAGTTCTTTTAGTTTTTCTGCTTCACATTTTTTCCCTTGGATTAAATTCTTAAATTTATAATGCAATAAAGGATTTATCACAGGAATAAGACCTTTCACAATTATGTGGAAGTTTAAGAAAATGAAGTCTAAAAGGGGGAGTTGGAGAATGAGAGAAAAGCACTAATCACCCTTACTGATGCATTGGCATGATTGGACAAGTCAGAGCTTGCAAGGGAATTGGAGAAGTCAGGCACATCTGGATGCTGAAGGGGGCAGGAGGGGCTGCTGTGAAGGTGAGCTGGTGGAGGAACCAGTGGTAAGCTATTGTCTTTGCATCTGATGGCAAGCTGGATTGCTGCTGTTTGTTTCAGATGAGAATTTCAGAATTTTAACCAGAAAACTGCAGTTTAAATACTCTGTTGTTTGGGCCAGTCATGTGGCATGGTGGTTAAGGCAGCTGGATACCGTAGAGTCGACTGCACCTTTGAATCCTGGACCTATCGGCTTTAAAAACAAGCTAGACACATGTGCATGTGTGCCCCAAATCCTGAAAGTAGAATGGAGAAGGGAGTGTGGCATGATCATCTTCCCCAAGAGGTTGCTTTCCCACTTTCTCTGTTTCTCATTGGTGAGCACACGTATTCTATAGAAAACTTTAAATAAATAAATTGTATTTTTTTAAAGAATTACTTACTAACTTAATTCTTCTTCTTCCTCTTCCTTCTCCTCCTCTCCCTTCTTCCCCCTCCTCCCCCCTTCTTCCCCTTCTTCCTCCCCCCTCCCCCCTTCTTCCTCCTTCTCCTCCTCCTTCTTCACTTTGACCAAAGAGAGAGACAGATCGAGAGAGGGAAAGTGGGAAAGTAAGCCATGAGGTCCAGGTTTAAAACAGCAGTAGGCCATGTGGAAGTCCAGCACCTTAGCCACCATGCCACTTGCTGACCCTAGGAAATAAATATTCTGTTGTTTATTAATTTTCTTTGGGGTATTTGATTTTGTCATTTTTTTCCTATAGCCGAATTAAGAAAGTGGTTTCTATCTATGGAAGCAGCATTGATGTGGAACTCCAGCAGAGGGCAGTAGAATATAATGCACTTTTTAAGAAGTACGACCACATGAGGTGAGCAAAAGAAACTAAGCAGTAAATATGCCTCTGGGCTTCTTGAATTAATTGTTATTCTCCATAAAGTAGACTCATTTTTTGTGCTTTATTAACTGGACCTCACAGCCGTGTTTAGTTCTAATTCCTTCTGTTTGTCCATCTGTTCTGCATAGCCTCTAAAGAAATAAATGGTCCAGGCACAGTGGCATGGGTGGGATGGCCACGCTGGAGCCACATGGTAGGCCTAGGTTTGAACCAACCTAGACATGCTGGGCCTGGCAGTGTGGTTTATAATCCTAGCTAACCAAGAGGTTGGGCAGGAGGATTGCAGTGTGGCAAGACCCTATCAAAAATACCTATGTCTCTCTCATTAAAAATGAAAGGGAAAGAAATGAACTGTTCTTTCATTCTATCCTATTCCTTTTTTGGTATGGAAAGTTTGCTTCATTTTCTATTTTTTTTCTTTTGCGTAGCATCGTTTTGTTTAGAGACTCTTAATACCTATTGGTTTACTTTTGTTTCATCCTAATCTCTCTACTGCTGAAATATATGCTTTGGGATTTTAGATGGACAGTATGTTCATTCAAGATTTCTTGCCTGGCCTTAATCCAGCCAGGAATTTAGGTCATGTAGTCTATAATCCACCTTCTATTTTAACTCGTGTGTTGGGAGGGGAGTGGGGGAGATGGCCCTCTATGTTTGACTTGAGCGTATTAATAGTGATTGTTTTTGGTAGGGAATCTAGGTTAACTGCCTAGAATTTAACCACTTCAGATTCTTCTAGGTCTGCCCTCCTTGAAAGAATGCCTGTCATGGAAAAAGTGACCACAAATGGCCCTACTGAGATTGTACAGACAAATGGAGAGACAGAACCTGCTCCACTAGAGACCAAACCACCACCCTCTGGCCCACAGCCCACCAGCCAGGTAGCCTTTCACTTGCTTACCTGGGGCTCCTGATGATCTTGTAGTCCCTTATAGCTTATTTCTTAGCAGGTTCCCTTTAATGTTTCTAGACTGGTTGCTGATTCCCTTCCTTATTTTTAAGAATTGAAAGAACTTTGCATAGATGGTTATTAGACTAGTAACTAATGAATAGAGGTGTTATTTCCTTGTTTAGGCCAATGATTTATTGGATTTGTTGGGAGGAAATGACATAACACCTGTTATTCCAACTGCACCTACAAGCAAACCAGCTTCTGCTGGTGGAGAACTTCTTGATTTGCTGGGAGACATCAACCTTACAGGTGAGGCCAGACCGGAGCCATCTGATGCTTAGATAGGGATAGGGACTGTGGAGAAAAACTACACTGTCCATAGACTTTTTATATGCGTGAATTGAAGATAAGAGAGCGGTTGAGCAGTAAGAATAGAATCTTTTTTTTTTTTAATTGTTATTTTTTTACTTATTTATTTAGAGATTTTTGCTAAGGGCATGTACGCTCCCCAGGAAGACAGAGACAGACAGAAAGTGAAAAATCACCCCCGGGGGAATGACCACGCCACAATCCCTTCTCCTTCATTCTCCTCTTGGGCTTTTGGGCACACACGCACATGTGCCTGGCATGAGTTTTAAGCCACTTAGTCCGGGACTTGAACTGCAGTCAACTATGTGGGAGTCCAGGGACACAACCATTGCAACCATGGAATTAAATAAATAATTCTTAAGAAAAAGAAACTGTCTATTTCAGACTCAAAAGGAATATATCCCAAGTTTCCCCTACTTTTATTTTTTATTTTTGGAGAGGTTTTTGTTATAGGGCGCGTGCGCTTGCTAGAAAGACAGAGGGAGGCAGAGAGATAGAAAGCGACCATCTGCTGGTCTCCCTTTTTAAAAGAATTATTTAATTTTATTTATTATTATTTTAATTTGACCAGAGAGAAACAGAGAAGAAGAGAGGAAGTGAGAAAGCAAGCCACCCGATCTGGAACTCAAAGTGTGGTTGCCCATGTAGGACTCCAGTGCCTTAAACACCATGCCATGTACCAGCCCCAAGAATAGAATCTTAACATCTGGGATATAAGTTGCATGCTAATGCTTTAAAGATAATTTGTAGGTACTCCTCAAAGGCTAATTTTCAATTTGAGGCAAATAAATTATTCATGATATTTTAAGATAGAAGAAACTGTCTCAGGGCCTGCAGGTGGCATGGCGGTTAAGAGCACTCGATTCTCCCATGGCCAATCATGATTCAAGTCTTGGACCTGCTATCTTATGTTCTCTTTCTCTCTCTCCCTGGTCAAATTAAGAACAAAAACAAAAACAAAATGGAATTAAATAAATAATTCTTAAGAAGAAACTGTCTCTTTCAGATTCAAAAAGAATATATCCCAAGTTACCCTTACTTTTTATTTTTTATTTTTGGGAAGGTTTTTGCTATAGGGCGCGTGCGCTTGCTAGAAAGACAGAGGGAGACAGAGAGAGAGAAAGCGAGAAATCACCCTCTGGGGGAAGGGCCACACAATCCTTTCTCCTCCACTCTTCTCTTGGTATCTTGGGCACACACATGGCTGGCATGAGTTTAAGCCACCGGGTCCAGAATTTGAACCATGGTCGACTACATGGGAGTCCAGTGACATAGCCATTATGTCAACTACTGGTCCCTACCCCTACTTTTTTTTTTAAAGAGGTTTTTGCTATAGGACGCATGCGCTCACCAGACAGAGAGACAGAAAGTGAGAAATCACTCCCCAGGGGGATGGCCACCCCGCAATCCCTTCTCCTCCATTCTTCTCTCAGGATCTTGGGCACGCACGCACACGCACTGACGTGAGTTTAAGCCACCAGGTCCGGGATGCGAATCGCAGTGGACTACATGGGAGTCCAGCAACATAGCCATTACACTAACTGCTGTTCCACCCCTACTTTTTAATTACTGTCCCAAGATAGGACTTTTTCTAAGTTTCTTTCTACTCATTATAAGTTTTAAGTAGTTAATGGCCTTTTGTGGAGAGTTGTTAACTTACTACCTATACCTTTTTTCCTCCTTCCCCCGCATACCCTTCCTTATTTATTTACTTTTTTTGGGGAGAGATTTTTGCTATAGTGTGCATGCACTCGCCAGAGAGATAGAAAGTTAAAAACCCGGGCGAGGGGGGTGGTAGCCACGTTGCAGTTCTCTCTCCATTCTCCTCTTGGGATTTTGGGCATGCATGCACAAGCTTCCAGTGTGCCTTTTAAGCTGCCGGATCTGGGACTTGAACCACGGTTGGCCACTTGAGAGTCCAGTGATGTAACCATTATGCCATCTAGTGGTTCCACCTTTTCTATTTTAAAATAGCTGAATGTGGGACAGTAGGTGGTGTAGTGCTTAAGGCTCTGAACTCCCACATCACTGAACATGGTTGAGTCCTAGACCAGGCAGCTTGCTTTCTCTCTTTTTCTCTCTCTCTGGTGAGCACATGTGTCCTATAGCAAAATAACAAAATAAAATAATAAATAAAATTAAATATATAAATCTTTAAAAAAAACTGAAGGAGAAAAATCATCCATAATTATAATATTCAAACATAATTTTCATCTGGGAATATTTTTTCTTATCTTCATATATATGTAGTAGACATTTGCAGTTGATATGTTCAATGACAGTATGAACTCATGAGCCCAGAAATATTGTTGTACTGAATAATGTCTGTCCTAAACTGCAATGTAGAGCATAGCTGAAAAGTTAGTGTCTTATTCAAAGTATAGTGGAGAGTTTCAGCATATATGACTTTGAGTATAAAACAGCCTTAGGATAAGGGTGGTTGATCATCAGTGAGATTCACAATCACATACTAAATGATTTTTTCTTAATATAGCAGGCCCCCCAGGGCTTATGATTTATGACTGTGTCTTAACCAAATTTCAAAATATTGGGTCATCAGAAAAGTCATGATGTATTTTGAATAGAAAAACAGAAAAAATGCTTCATGACTTTTCCAATGGCCTAATATTATTTGTCATGTACTTTTTTTTTTTGAGAGGTTTTTGCTATTGGGCACGTGCACTCTCCAGAAAGACAGAGACAGACAGGTAGAAAGCAAGAAATCACTCCCCAAGGGGGCATGGCCACGCCGCAATCTTCTCTTCTCAGGATCTTAGGCACACATGCACACGCGCCCAGCGTGAGTTTAAGCCACCAGGTCCAGGACTCGAACCGCAGTCGGCTACAATGGGAGTTCAGCGACATAGCCATTACGCTAACTGCTGGTCCCTCATGTCCTTTTTTTTTTTTTAAGAATTATTTTACTTATTTGATTAATTAGTTTTAATTTTATCAGAGAGGGATAGAGAGAGTGAGAAAGTGAGAAAGCAAGCTTCCAGGTCTAGGATTCAAACCACAGTTGGCCACGTAGGAGTCCAGCACCCTTAACTACCATGCCACCTGCCGGCCCCTTGTCATGCATGTACTTTTGAATCATTTATAAGTTGTCAATTTCACATCCTCATATGCTAAAGCTATACTGGGTAACTTGAAAAGCAAAAACAACTTCATAATTAAAACATAGTATATGCTTCACTGATCATTGTATTTTCATGTTAGCACATAGTTTTCATAATAATTTTGTATTATCATTTACTCAGTTCCTTACTGTTACAAATTTTATTTCTAGATTTTTCTTATTTAGTTGCCTCAACAAATATCCTTACATCTATTTGTCCTCACCTTGGATTACTTTCTTAGACTATGTTCCATAATCTTTCTTAATGTGATTAATATAAAAGTAATTAATAAGGCTATTTGTGAGAACTACTGATCCACTCAGTGCACTACACATAGTAAGAACTTGGTAAATATTATTTACCTCTTTTTCAACTTATAGGACCACCAGTTTCACCATATAAGTTATAATCTTTCTATATTATCCTGTTTGTTTTTTTCTTAGGTTTTTGCCATAAGGTATGTGGGCCTACTGGAGAGAGATAGGTAGATCTCCCCCTAGGGAGATGGGCATACTGCAATTCCTTCTTCTCCATTCTCTCAGAATTTTAGGCATACATGCACACACACTTGGCATGTTTTTCAAGCTGTTCCATCCAGGACTCAAACTACGTAGTTGACCGCATGTCATCCTGTGCCTTAAGCACCATGCTACCTGCTGACACTATTATTTTTTAATTTCCTGCCAGGTGAAAGTTGGTCCTACTCTTTTGTTGATTTTTATTTTTTCAATCACATTGAATTTACATATTTGTATTATAGATGCATTTCCTTTTCGAACATTTTTGTTGTATTCTTAATACATTTACTGTGGGGTCTTAATGTTTCATTTTGGTTTTGTTCTTTTTTGTTTTTCTAGTGTTAGTTGAAAAGCAGAATGGTAAGGGCCAGCAGGTGGTGTGATTGTTAAAGCTCTGAATCTCACTTGGCCAACTGTGAATCAAGTCTCAGACTCGGCGGCTAGGCACGTAGGTGTGCATGCCCAAAATCTTAGGTGGAGAATGAAGGAGAAGGGGATTGCAGTATGGCCATCCACCTGGGGTGGAGTGGTGATTGCTTACTTTCTCTCTTACTGTCTCTGTCTCTCCCTGGTAGCTCACACACCCTGTGGCAAAAACCTTTAAAAAAAAAAGAAGAAGAAGAAAATTCATATGGAATGCAAGAGGAGAATGGAGGAGAAGGAATTGTGGTGTGGCCATCCACTCTGGGGGATGACTTTTTCACTTTCCCTCTGTCTGTCTCTTTTCAGTGAGTGCACATGCTCTGTATTAAAAGTCTTAAAAAAAAAAAGATAAATTATTTAAAAGCCTAGATTTTTCTTTCCTTTTTTATAATTTGGATTTTTAAAAAATTATTATTATTATATAGTTTGCTATTAAAGCTGCTACCAGAAAGAGAGAAAGTGAGACAGCAAGCCACCAGGTCTGGGATTCAAACTATGTTCAACCATGTGGGAGTCAGTGCCTTAACCACCATGCCAACCTGGTAGTCCCTTTTAATTCATTTTAAAAAAATAAACTCCAGGGGCCAGTAAGTTACACAGTAGTTAGGCACTAGACTCCCACATGGTCGACTACCGTTCAAAAACTGGACACAGTGACTAGAAAGTTACACCTGGTGCATGTGCATTTTGAGTGCCCCAAATCCTGGGAGGCTGGAGGAGACTGTAGGATGACACCCTCACCCCACCCCGGTGGATGATTTCTCACTTTCCCATTCTCTGTTTTTCTGGAACACACATAGCCTATGGCAAAAACCTTAAAAATATGTGTGTGTGTGTGTGTGTTCCAGTCTTTCTTTATTTCATTGTGTTGATTTTTTTTTTTTAAAGGTTTTGCCATAAGGTGCATGCACTAACTACAGACAGTAAGAAGGAATGTAACAAATCACCTTCTGTGGCACAACTCCCTCCCTCTCCTCCATTCTCCTGGGATTTGGGGCAAGCACATGTGTCCAGTTGGAGTTTTAAGCTGCTGGGTCCAGGACCTCACCTGCAGTCGGCCATGTGGGAGTCTAGGACTATAACTACTATACCACCTGCTGGCCCCTGTGTTGTTTCTATCTATCTATGTATTTATTTTTAAAGAATTATTTTATTTAACTTTATTTATCTATTTAATTTTAATTTGACCAGAGAGGGAAAGTGAGAAAGCAAGCTGTCAGGTCCGGGACTTGAACTTCAGTCAGCCGTGACCAGAGAGGGAAAGTGAGAAAGCAAGCTGTCAGGTCCGGGACTTGAACCTCATTTGGCCGTGTGTGAGTCCAGCACATTTAACCACCATGCCAGTGCCCGGCCCTCTTGTTTCTTTCTTTTTAATTTATTCCATTTCTTTATTTTAGGTTTTTGCTATACTGCGCATGCGCTCGCCAGACAGACAGAGAGAGACATAGAGACAGAAAGAGAGAAATCACCCCTCAGAGGGGATGGTCACGCCGCAATCCCTTCCCCATGAATCTCTCGGGATCTTGGGCACGCACACACACGCGCCTGGCGTGAGTTTTAAGCCACCAGGTCCGGGACACGAACCGTGGTCGACTACGTGGGAGTCCAGCGCCATAGCCATTAGGCTAACTGCTGGTTCCCTCTTGTTTCTTTTTAAAGTGGCATATGTTTAGTTAATTTCATTAATAGTTGAAAATCTAAATATAAAATACATTCTCCCTTTTTTTCCTGAATTTTCTTTATAATCTTTTTTGTTTGTTTATTTTAAAGTTTTAATTGCCAGAGGGTATGTGCATTGGCCAGAGTGAGAGACAGGGAGAGGGAAGAAAACACCTCCCAATGGGGTAGGGTCACACTACAATCCCTTCTCTTCCATTTCTTTATCCTGTCAAGGTTTTGGGCATACATGCACAAATGCCTGGCATATTTTTCAAGCTATTGGTGCTGGGATTGAAACCACAGTTAACTATGTGGGAGCTGACTCTCTTAACTACTAGGTTAGAGACCTGACCATTTTCTTTAATTTTCTTTAAAATCTTGATTCCTCTCAGTCCTTGCCTGCTATTGTATGATCCTCAATTTGATCTTATTTGTAAAGATAAAATAAAAGTAGTAACCTGGTGATTTCTTCTCCCCATCCACTCTATACTGCTTCTCCCAGGGGATGTGTGTGTGTGTGTGTGTGTGTGTGTGTGTGTTACTATGCAGTATTTAACATTCAAGTACAAAATTCAGTAGATACCTCAGTCTACCTAGTTTCTTATATATTATTAAGAGAGTTGATGTTTCCTCAGCATTTCCCTCTCATGCCATTTCCTCTTAATTTCATAACTGCTATCTGTTCTAAAACAGTGTTTAACCTTGGTGTTTACCATTATAGTGCATTTCTCAATGCAGTCAGTGTGTGGTATCATCAATACTTGATTTGATCAGTGTGTGTTTAGTATTGCCAATTTTTACCCTTTTAGAAATGGTATCTGAATGGCTTCTTTTTTGCGCCCTGCTTTTTTGCTAACATGTTTTAGAGTAATCCATTTTGAGTGTAGATTTAATTAATTCATATTTCTTTTTAACTCTTACGCAGTATTTTACTGTGTCAGTGTACCATAATTTTACTTATCTGTTATCCTGATGATGGGCATTTTGGTTGTTTCCAGTATTTCACCATTAGAAATTATCTTGCTATGAACATATTTTGTATGTGCTCATCTCCCTGTGTGATGTAAATAAGAATAATGAAGAGCATTCCTAAGAAAGGCAGTGGTTCTCAACAGAATTAGATTCTGCCCTCTGGGGGTTGGCAGTGTCTGAAGGTATTTTGATCATCCTAACTGGGAGGATGCTACTATCATCTAATGCACAGATGCCAGGAATGTTGCCAAACATCTCTAGTACACAGAGTAGCTCCCTCCAACAATGATTTAGCCTAAAATGTCATTAGTGTCAGCTTGAAGAACCTTAGTTTAAGCATACACTGCTATTCACCTCTACTATTGGCAAGCTATTCTCTAGTTTGCAAGTTTCTATAGTTTACATTCCTACAGCAGAGTCTAAAAGTCCTCGTTGCTCCATATTCTTACCAATATCTGATATTATCAGACGTTGAAATTTTTATCATTCTGATGGATGTAAAATAATATCTCATTATTGGCAAGATCGAGATTCATCCTTCCTTCCTTCTTTATCTGTATTGTGTTTCCTATCAGGTATATGTGTCTGCTTATGAGAGACAGAGAGAAACAGTGAGAGGGAAAGTGAGGAGGGGATGGTCACACCACAGTCCCTTCTCTTCTGTTCTTCTCTTAGGATTTTGGGCATGCGCACACACGGACCTGGTGTGATTTTCAAGCCGCTGAATCTAGGACTTGAACCACAGTTGGCCATATGGGAGTCCAGTGCTTAACAACCACACCTCCGTTTGCCCCTGAGGAACCATTTTTTATTTCTTTATTTTCTTGAAGTTTTATTTAAGGTTCCCTTTTTCTGTAGTTGCTTGTTCATATATCTTATCAATTTTTAATTGGGTTATCTTTGTCTTACTGATTTTTAGAAGATATTTATAGTGCTGGGTACTTACACTTCTGTTATTGTGTAACATTTTCCCTACCTGTCACCTCCCTTTTTATTTTTTTCTAATAGTACTTTTTAATGAACAGAAGTTCCTCATTTTGAAGTACTTGATTTTGAGTGCTTTATCTTTATGATCTATGCTTTTCGCATCTTGCTTAACGAATCCTTTACTAACTGAGATCATCATTTTCTTCTTTATTTTGTTGGTGAGTTTTATTATGCTTACTAAATTTGACCTTCCTTTGGACTATTTCCTTTAGGTGCTCCAGCTGCTGCTCCCGCTCCTGCCTCAGTCCCACAGATATCCCAGCCCCCCTTCTTGTTGGATGGGCTTTCGTCACAGCCTCTCTTTAATGACATCGCTGCAGGTATGCTTACTGTTGTTACCATCCTCCCTTGGAGCAACGAGCGACGAGAGGTGGTTATTGAGGAAAGGAAGCATTAGGCTGATTATAAAAGGACTGATTTTCTTGTATTTTCCCAGGCATCCCCTCCATCACAGCATACAGTAAGAATGGCTTGAAGATAGAATTCACCTTTGAACGGTCAAACACCAACCCCAGTGTCACAGTGATAACGATACAGGCCTCTAACAGCACGGAGCTAGATATGACAGACTTTGTTTTCCAGGCTGCAGTACCAAAGGTACTGTAATGTATTCTTTGTGTTTGTCCTTTGATTAAAAATTGGCTGATTGTTTTCATGTATTTGGTTAAGGATATTTTAACATTAAGAGATTAAATTCGATTTGCAGATTTAATTCAAACTATTCCTTTCTATAAATCCTTTGTTTATATCTCGTCTTAATTCAAGTAGTACTTAATGTTCTTTTTTTTCCCCCTTTATGAGCAAAAGTAAGAGAAAGGGAGAAAAATATCTTTTCAACAGGTTCTTGCTATATCATGAGCTTCCTGCTCAATTACCTAGGGTCACATACATACCCAGTGTATTCAGGTTGACCTAGGACTCAAACCTGGGTCTCCCATGCAGCCTCCAGTCTCCCACAGTTGTACTACCTGTGCACTACCACAGCTGGGCTCTGTTATGTCTAGTTTTTTAAATGATTTTTTAAAAAGATTATTTTATTTAGTATTTATTTCAAATTGACCAGAGAGGAACAGAGTGAGAGAGAGAGGAAAAGTGAGAAAGCCAACCACCAGGTCTAGGACTCAAATTGTGATTGGCTATGTAAGAGTCCAGGGCCCTTAACCACCATGCCACCTGTTGGCCACATTAATAATTATTTTTTAATTGCTGGAAGGCATGTGCACTCACCAGAGAGAGGTAAAGAGAAAGGAACACCTCCCAGTGGGGCATGGTCATGCTGCAATTCCTTTTCTGTTTCTTCATCTTATCAGGATTTTGGACATACACACACATTCTCCTGGTATGTTTTTCTTTTCTTTTCTTTAGAGACGTTTTTACCGTAGGGCGCATATGCTTGCTGGAAAGACAGAGAGATAGAAAGTGAGAAATCACCCCTCCAAGGGGATGGCTACTCAGGAATGCCTTCTCCATTCTCCTCTCGAGATTTTGGGCATGCACACACATGCACCCGGTGTGAGGTCCAAGCCCTTATGTCCAGTATTCAAAGTGTGGTCAACTACATTGTGCCCATCTGCCAGTTCCTCTCCTGGTGGATTTTTTTTTTTTTTTTTTTAATGATAGGTTTTTTCTTTAGCACATGTGCTCGCCAGAAAGACAGAGAGAGACAGAAAGTGAGAAATCACACCCCAAGGATGGCCACACCACAGTCCCTTCTCCTCCATTCTTCTCTTGGTATCTTGGGCATGCATGCGCACGTGCCTGGTATGATTTTAAGCCACCAGGTCCGGGACTCGAACCGCAGTCGACTACATGAGAGTCCAGCAACATATCCTTATGCCACCTGCTAGTCCCCCTCTCCTGGTGTTTTTTGTTTTCAAGCCATCTGGGCTGGGATTTGACCTGCAATTGGCCATGTGGGATCGAGCACCCTTAGACTTCAAGTTGTGGGGCTAGTCCATATGTCCATTTTTGAATAAGGAAGAGTTTTGAATAAAAAAAAATTTAGACTGAGGAGTTATAAAAGATTAGATAACACTTTAGCACTATGGTCACTTTTGCTATTCATTTTTGCAGAAGTAGCTGTTCACATATTTAAATGAATGAGAGTGGCTCTGTTTCAATAAACCTTTTTTTTTTAAGTTTATTTTTTTTCTCAATTTGCTACAGGGCAGTTGTGCTCACTAGAGACAGACAGAGAGAGGAAAAGTGAAAAAGCACCCCTTCAGGGGGATGAACATTCCATAGTCCCTTCTCCATTCTTCTCTCAGAATTTTGGTCACACACATACATACACTTGGTGTGTTTTTCAAGGCACCAGGTCCAGAACTCAAACTGCATAGTTGGCCACATGGGATTCAGCTACTTTAACTTCCCTACCATCTGCTGGGCCTGTTTTTTCACAGGCCTAGGATTTGGGGCATGCATTGGAGGACACTTTCTATCTTTTTAAAAATAATTAATTAATTAATTTTAATTTGACCTGAGAGGGACAGAGTGAGAAAGTGAGAGAGAGAGAGAGAGAGCAAAAGTTAGCTGCCAGATCCAGAACTCAAACCAGAGTCAACCATGTGGGAGTCCAGCACCCTTAACCACCATGCCCCCTGCCAGCCCCCATATTTTCACTTTTTAATATCTTTGGAATTGGGGTGCATTTTAAAATTGATACCTTGTCATAGTTTAATGAGGAGTCTGTTTTCTTTCTCAGTGACTCATAAAATAATGGTGTGAATTTCAATAAAAATTTCTTTCATTATCTTACATTTAATGAAATAGAGTAGTGATGAATTATATTTTAGCTACATAGTTTATCTTTGTAATAGAATTATGAGTAAGACCAGTATAATAAATTTTTGTCTTTAGATTGAATATTCACTCTTATAAATCTTGTCCTTAGAGAAGACTATTCTTTTTTCCCTCTCTGTTTCTCTCTTTCCTTCTCTTTCTCCCTCTCATAAATATTTTAGAAGATTAATTTACTTCCAGGAAAGTTTTTTTTTTGGAGAGGTTTTCGCTATAGGGCACGTGCGTTTGCCAGACAGACAGAGAGAGACAGAAAGACAGAAAGCAAGAAATCACCCCCCAGGGGGGATGGTCACGCCGCAATCCCTTCTCCTCCATTCTCCTCTCGGGATCTTGGGCATGCACACACACGCGCCTGGCATGAGTTTTAAGCCACCGGGTCCGGGACGCGAACCACAGTCGACTACGTGGGATTCCAGCGACATAGCCATTATGCTAACTACTGGTTCCCTTCCAGGAAAGATTTTTAAAAATCCTAACATATAGAAGAAGAACATAGTATATAGTTTATCTTACTTGCTTAAAGCAATTTCATCTCTCATTTCCATAAATTAACAAAGCCAGCACTGAACAAATTATTTCGGTCTTCTGTCTATGGGCTACTTCTGCATGTGCTTTCTCTGTTAGGACCTTGTAGCCGTAATAGTGTAAACATGATGTCCTCCACTTATATATTAACACTACATATTTTTCCAAGCCTTTTCTTCACCTCTGTCATGTAGGTATAGGCCTTGACTTACTTCAGATTTAGAAAACAGAAGTTCAAGTCTCTGGGTCTCTGTCATCCGGTTATGCAAAAGCATAAAGATCTGTAGTTGGTGACTGGTTTGCTGGTTTACTATTTTTGGAAAGAGTTTTCTTCTAGTATTTTTCTGGATCTTTTTTAACCCACAGGAACCTTATTTTTTTTTTTTTTTTTAACTTGCATGGTTGATCGGTTACTATTAAGTGAATATGCCAGAATGAGAATTGGTCACCTTTTGAAAAGTGGTAGGCTAATTTTTTTTCCTGCCAAAGAAAAAAGGAGTCTGGCTCTCTGCTAGTTTTCATGATCAAATACCATGAGTGACAGCCAGTCCCTCGTGCTATGAATTACTAATGCCTGGAAAATGAACAGTAGGCAGAACTTAGTAGTAGGTAGATCTGTTACTTGAACCATTACCCATGTGCCTGACCTTTTCTGCGTTGGCCTCTCTGACAGTGTTGTTTGTCCCTGTTTCTGAAGAGTGCCTTTGTTCCTCCCTAGACGTTCCAGCTGCAGCTCCTGTCTCCCAGCAGCAGCATTGTCCCAGCATTTAACACAGGGACCATCACACAGGTCATTAAAGTCCTGAACCCACAGAAGGTGAGTAGCACACTTGACGCCAATTATCTGAGCAAGATTTAAGCGTATTTCCTGAAATAAAATCCTGTTTGATTTCTCTGGGTTTTTCTGCCTCAAAGCCAGAGGAGAGATCTATAGAGATGCCTCATTTAAGTTCCTTGTTCTTTCATAGATAATAACCAGAGCCCAGAAACATCGAATGGCTTAATGGCATCTGATTAAAATGCAACTTGAAATTCTCTATTTAGAAGAGTAAAGGTCTAGTTTTTGGGGGGAGTGGTGGAAATTTTAGACATTTTAACTTATACACTAATTGAAATCTGAGGTAAGAGCAAGCTGAGTCCCGGACATAATGGCTTGCTTTCTCACTTTCCCCTAATCTCTCTCTCTCTCTTTCTCTCTGTCTCTGGTCAATAATAAATACAATGAAATAATAATATAATTCTTAAGGGGAAATAAAAAAACAGAGGCATTTTAAAGTAGCCAAATGATGGGCCAGCAGGTGGCATAATGGGTGAGGGCACTGAACTCCCACATGGCCAACTGTGGTTCAAGTCCTGGATATGATGGCTTGCTTTCTCACTTTTTTCCTCTCTCTCTCTGTCTCTCAGTCTGTCCCTCTCTGATTAAATTAAAATAGATAAATACGTAAAATTAAAATAAAAAATAAGTATTTAAAGTAGCCAAATGAGAGCTTTAGAAACTTAGGTTAAGCAGTATTTTTTTAAAGAATTTATTTATTTATTTAATTCCATTTGTTGTTATTATTTTTTAAATTTGATCAGAGAGAGAAAGGGAAAGTGAGAAAGCAAGCCGCCAGGTCCAGGACCCAAACCACAGTTGGCCATGTGGGAATCCAGCGCCTTTATCCACCACACCACCTGCTGGCCCCAATCAGTATTTTTATTATATTATCTTAAGGGAATAGGTGATCTAATAGTGATCAAGTCACAGGTTTTCAAAAAGGTTTAAAAATGGTTCAAAGAATCTTTTTACCTTGGAAAGTCTTTAGTATAATTTCTTCTTGTAACACTTTGCTATTCACTGTATTTTGAGAATCTGCCTATAGTACAAGCAAATTCCTTTGACCATCTGAAAGACGAATACAAATTTTCTTAGTACATTAATATTTGAAATCTGCCACGTACAGTAGAGAGTGCTTAATAATTGAGTTCTTGGGGCTAGCTGGTGGTGTGGTGGTTTAGGAGACTGGATCCCATATGGCTGACTGCATGGTTTGAGTTCTGGACCTGGTGGCTTGAAAAACACACCAGCTGTATGTCCTTTTGTGCCCAGAATCTCCAAAGGAGAAGTGCAAGAGAAAAGAATGTGGCATGGCCATCCCCCATGGGGAATGCTTTCTCATACCCTCCGACCCTGTACCATCTCTCCTTGGCAAGCATATGTGCCCTCTAGCAAATTAAAATACAACAACATTTAATTCTCTTAAAATTACTGCTGTTAACCTGTGAATTAACGTTTTTCCCTTTTTATACTTTGGGAAAACATAGAAATTTATGTTCATATTTACTGTAGGATTCACAGATAAAGCAACAGTCTATCTTAATGTAGAATATAGGGTGAGTGTGTGTGTTTACCTCATTTTTATAGAGACTTAGATACATGAATTGAATTTTTTCAAAAGTACTCAGCAAATATTACTGGGAAAATGTTTCCAAATAGTTCTGTCCCTTTTAATGCATTTCTAGGATTGAAGCCAACTCTGTATTCTGGAAATGTCCCTTCTCTATTTAACTGTGCCATGTTGGTTTCTAGGCTCAAAGAACACTTGGTGATTTTTGTTTGTCTGTGTGTCCTTTTTTTTTTTTTTCTTTTTAAGAATTTATTTATTTATTTTAATTTGACCAGAGAGGGCCAGAGAAGAGGGGAAGTGAGAAAGCAGTCCACCAGGTCCAGGATTTGAACCATAGTCAGCCATGTGGGAGTCCAGCCCCCTTAACCACCACGCCACCTGCTGGCCCCCTCCTCCGTTGTGTTTTTTTTTTTTTTTTTTTAATTGTAAGAAAGATTTTGGCTATAGGGTAGGGTACATACGCTTCCTGAGAAATAGAAAGCAATAAATCACCCCCTAGGGGGATGACCATGCTGCAAATCTTTCTCCTCCATTCTTCCCTTAGGATCTTGGGCATGCATGCACACGCGCCCGGTGTGATTTTCAAGGTACTGCGTCCAGGACTTGAAACATGGTTGACTGTGTGAGAGTCCAGCAAGGTAACCATTACACCATCTGCTGGTCACACATGTGTGTCATTTTGATTTTTTTTTTTTTCAGTTACCTGAAGGCGTGTACATTTGCCAGAGAAACAGAGAAAGAACCCTTCTTTTTTTTTTTTTTATTTGAGAGATTTTCGCTCTAGGGCGTGTGCGCTCACCAGACAGACAGAGAGATGTAGAGACAGAAAGCGAGAAATCACCCCCAGGGGGGATGGTCATGCCGCAATCCCTTCTCCATTCTCCTCTCGGGATCTTGGGCATGCACACACACGTGCCCGGCGTGAGTTTTAAGCCACCGGATCCGGGACGCGAACCACGGTCGACTACGTGGGAGTCCAGCAACATAGCCATTACGCTAACTGCTGGTTCCCAAAAGCACCCTTCTTTAGGTGCTTTCTTCCATCTCTCCCTTTTCTTCCATTTTTCCGTTCTTTCAGGATCTGGGGCACACACGTGTTTTTCAAGCTGCCTGGGCTGAGCCTTGAACCAAGTTGTCCATGTTGGATTTCGCTTCCTTAACCAACAGGATATGGAAATGGCCCCTCATTTTAATAGTTTTGTTTTGTATAGATGCATGCTTTTTTTTTTTTAGTTTATTTTTTCTATGTGTGAGAGAGGGAGACATACACACACAGAAATAGCACCCTAAATAGGGTCTTCATGCCATTACCCATCCCCAGTTTCAGCCAGTGCAAAATCATGGGTACCCTCATGCCTGGTGTACTCATAGCGGTCTCTGTATGTGAACCCCGTATACCAGGGAGATCTCTGTATGTGAACCCAGAACCTTCCAATATCATTCAGCCTTGCAGATCATGGCATTTTACCTCTCTGCCATTGTCCAGCTCCCTGGTGTGTCATTTTTAAGAGACATATTTGCTCTAAGGTAATTTTTTTACCTTAAAGATTAGAAGTCTTTTTGTGAGCCAGACTGGGAAGGTTTTATTTCAAGATAAACTTGTGACTCTCTTTCCTCTTACAGCAACAGCTGCGAATGCGGATCAAGCTCACGTATAATCACAAGGGCTCAGCAATGCAAGATCTAGCAGAAGTGAACAACTTTCCCCCTCAGTCCTGGCAATGAGGGTCTGGCACCATACTCATTCTTACCCCACTCAATCAAAGGAACTCTGGGAAGGAGGTTGTGATTGCTGGCAAGTCCCCCCCAACTGTACCATGGGCATGAGGAGCTGAAGAGAACTGTTGAGGAGGATTTTCCTAAAGTTATTGCTGACCTTGATGCATTGGTAAAGACTAATGTCCTCTCCTCCACTGTCGAGGCTGGCTGCTTTTGGAGGCTACTTTGCACTCTTCCTCTTCTCCCTTTTCCGCACTTCTCCACCCCTCCTACATTTACAGCCAGAATCAACATTCCCTGGGCTCTTGAGGAAATAAGCAGCTGGTCTGGAGGAGAGGACTGGAATTCATGGCAAGAAAACACTCACCCCGTCTCTGCAGCCAAGAGTTGCCCCTTCTTTCTACTGTTGTTTCTCTGTGGACTGGGCAAGGTGGGGTATTTATTCCTCACTAGCTGAGTTCCCATCTTCAGGCGCTTTTACATCTGGCATTTGGAATGGAAATGTAACAGTGGACATTAGGGAGCCCTGCCTTTTTCTACTGGTTTCCCAATGTTTGAAAGAGGCATTAGGCTCCTGGTAGCCTTTTCTGTGCATTGCTGTATACACACAGACACACACATGTATGTATGTTTGTTACCAAGAACTGGTCAGACTTTGAAGAGGTTATTTGTAAACACTGGACAGAAGATGCAGTTAAAAAGAGTTTTTGTTGAGATTTGGCATGAAGGATATGGTGCTCTATTTGTAATAGAAACTTCCAAGGCTCTTCCAGCTCCCCTTTCTCTCCATTCTTTAGCTGTAGTCATGAATCCTCTCCCTGATTTTCCAAATCGATCCCCTTGAAGGTATAAAGGGGACACCTTCTAAAAGATAAATTGGTAGTTATTAATAACCCTGTTCCCACCACAGATTTTAAAGTTTCTTCCTAAGCCTGTAACTTGCCTGTTTGAACTGTGGTAAATGGGTGGAAAGAAGAGTTCCCCAGTTTTAAAGATCCGACTCCTTAATAAAAGCACCTTTGCACATAGGAAGAGTGAGTTTCAGACTCATCCTGGAGCATTTTGGAGTCATCTTATCCATTACTCCAACCTCCCTTTTTTATTTCCTGAGCCTGGCTTGGACCTTGGCATTCCGTTTGAATTCCTTCTTCTAACTGGAACATTGTGTTGTATCTGTAACACTGGCACTGAAATAAAGACCACACGGTTAAAGAAATCTTTCCTATATTGTACTTTATGGTGTTGGGATGAAGCCTTGTAGCTTCTTGCCCCCATGTCAGAGGAAGTCTATGGACACCATAGGGTAGGAATGTCTTTTCCTGAGTCTGAGAAATGGGTCTCTTGAAAGAGACCAGTTTCATGAGTAACTGCATCAAACACTTGAGCTTTTTAAACTAGTG